CAGTTTATAAAAGGGAGAATGACTCTATCAATATAATGTGTAAAGATTCAAAATAAATCATTAGGATTTTATTGCATTGTTAATTACTGACTTATTCATGGTCATATGGTACAATTTTTGCCAAGGCAATATGAAGAAAAGACTTTTGGGAGAAATTTTAGTAAATATTTCTTCAGTGATACAAGAGAAATATACATGAAGGGATATTTCCTTATTTTTTTTTTTTAATGTGTGTTTTCTATCTGAATCTGAAACTTGAAACTATGGCAACCATGAGGGAAACAGCAAAGCACTTGAGGAGACAGCTATTTCCTAATGATGTGTTGAGCCTTTCAGTTAATCAGTTCTAAAGACAACATTCCCCTAGACCTGTCAAGATGTTATAAATATTTCCTCATTATTTAAGAAATCTTTTCTCAGGGTTTTCTCTTACAATAGTCATAAATGTCCTAGCTACCTGAAGTTTCATCCAAGTAACAGATATCTTTTAATCAATTTTCTTTGGTGCCTAAAGTAAAAAAAAAAACAGATTTTTTCCTCTTAGTACACTCAAAGCTATTTGGGTGTAATATGCCTTAAAATTTAACTTTGAATGAATATATAGAATACTAATATATAGAATTACTTTTCTTAACAGTATTCATGGTTTTTTTAAGTTCATTTTAAGTCAAATAGTTGGCACATTTTGCTTTTTTGCCTTTTAAGTCTATCAGATAAGTGGCCAGGTTATAGATATATCATGCGTGGGGTAGCTCAATTTGTGTGTATTCAAGCTCAACATTTGCTAATATTCCATTTGTGCCTTCTGGCTTTTACAAATGGATCCTTTCATGGATCTATTCCAAGTTGAAACAAGTAGAACATTTTAACTTATTGAAATAAACAATGTTTATATTCTCTAAATTTGAATCCAAAATTGCCAATAAATAACTTTTGAAGATTACAGAAAAATTATGAGACCTTCAAAGTTCTTTTTTGTAGGGGAATGTATGGGAAAATGCCCTGCTAAAGTTGTATCTAAACTATTATAAAGCTCTGTGCTAGACCCAATATTGGAATTTGGACTAAATAATTGCTTGTTTATACAAATAAATATTTTACATCTCGTGTTGTGTAATAAAAATAATATCTCTGACTCACTTTTTTTTCTTTTTTTAAAAGATTTATTTTATTTATACAAAAACAGGGGTACAGGCCAGATATGCGGGAGGGTGAGAGGATTCACCAAAGACAGAACGGGGAACAGAATAGGAAGACTGACAAAATACAATGCTGAAGGGAGCAGCGGGTGAGACAAGAGAGATCTGCTCGCCACGTGGGTTGCTCTGAGTACAGTGGAGATAGAACCAGCACTGCAGAGGCTGCAGACAGCTTCACAATGCTGTGTCCAACCACTTGCACCACCAGGGAGGCCCCTGACTCACTTTTAAAATGTCAGTATGAAAAGATAAAGACATAGTTGCAAATACTACTATGTGTATCTTTTTTCATTTATTTTAGGGTTAATCACATAGGCGACTCTGCTTAGCATATAAACAAATTCCACACAATCATAAGGAAATAGGTGGTCAGTATAAATCATATTGTTTTACCAAAGTTGATGCGCAGTGGGGAATTTGTATTGTTAATGGAATTTGTATTGTTAATGCCATTAATTAACAGCAAATCTTTCAAGTAGGCCTTTCAAAGAGTGCAGTTCAGGACTACTGTATTCTTTTCTTCACAAGTGCTAGTGAGAAAAACTAGTTAATTAAAATTAAAGAAATTTATGCTCCCAATTTTATGAATTCACAGTAAAATGAAGTATATGAAAATCGTACCAACTGGCTAGTGGGAGATTGTTGGTATACTTTGGTGGTGATTGTGGTGCAGTAACGTATATCTGATGAAGTGTGTACTTAAATCCCTAAATCAAGTATAGTGATGCAAACCAGTATTAATTCAATAAAATACAATTTAAAAATAAATAAAAGCTATACTGGTCCTCCCTGGTGGTGCAAGGGGTTAAGCACACTGCTGTGAAGCTGTTCACAGCCTCTGCAGCATGAGTTCGATCCCTGGGTGGCCAGGGAGCTGCCCACATGGCGAGGCAGATCTCTCCTGTCTTGCCTGCTGCTCCCCTCAGCAGTGTACTTCATTCATTCTGTCTGTTCTGTTCCCTACTGTGTCTCTTGTGAATCCCCCCACCCCCTGCATATATGGCCTGTACCCCAGCTCTTGTATGCATAAATAAATCAATCTTTAAAAAAATGCTATACCACATGCACTCATCCCTTTAATATGATTTTCACAAGATCTATGCTAAGAAGTATGCAACCATCATTTTTATGATCTTACTCAAAAGTCTGAAAAACTCTTCTCAAGATCTTAAGTTATTTAGTTATTTTGGTAAACATACTTGGTATATATTGTGATATATATATAAATCATATCTAGATCAATTATAAATAATAATTAATATATTCATGTTATTTCTCTATATTTTTATTATAGGCACATAGTTAATAAATCAAACTCTTAAATTGTCAAACTGTAAAATATGGGAATTTATAGCTTATAAAATGCTTTTTATTTAATATAATAATCCATAAACCTTAAACTATATATCAAAATATTTGTACTTATATAATTAATCTTAAAATCATTGAAACTGAGGTGAATTCTTCAACTTCAGATGAATATTCTATTTCAGTTTTTATTGAATAACATTACTGATAATATAAACTACAGACTCCTAGTGGAATTTTATCGCTATCAGCAAATGAATGCCCTGCCAAATTATTATTCAATATTCTATAGCTGATAATATCTGAACAATAAGATGTTTGCACATTTAGTAAAATCTTGGAATTTGAAATAGCTATTACTTTTGTAACAAAACTAGAGTTTGTGTAGTTTAATTAGTTGAAAAATTAATATGTAATCCAAAGAACATTTTAATTTTGCTTCATTCAGTGTTCCTTTCAGTTTATTTAACTTTCCCTGCTTCTTTTCCCTTCACCTAATCCCTTGCTACACTGGGAAGCTTGATTTAGATTCCTTTGCTGTCTCAGTCTTTCAGTGAAACTCATAAATAAAACATAATATTCTTTATCTATTAAACATGTTAAGTTATGGATAAAATGTCATGTTTGAAAGCAGGGTTATCCCTCACCCAACAGATTACTTATTAATAATAAAAGAAAAATAAATCTGGCAGACCCTGCCTTAAACAAGGTACCAAATTTAATAACCACCACCAAGGGATCATTGTCGCTCTCCCTATAAACTACTGAGAAAGGCACATCACCTATCTGATGACCTAGCAAAAAAGGTTTTAGCCAGATCTCATCATGTGGAAATAAGGACAAATCCACAATGAAAAATTCTACAAAACAAGCAGTCCGAACCCTTCACTAATATAAATACCGTGAATGACAAAATTGCTGGGAGACTGTTCTAAACTACAGAAGAACTAAGGGGACCTAAAAAGTAAATGTAATATATGAATTTTGATTTCATACTGAATTTACGCAAAATCTATAAAGCATATTTTTGAATATGTTTTGCACATCTATGGGAAATACTGTATGGGAAATACATATAGAGTCTCTTCTCAGAGACTGGAGCACTCAGAGGCCTCCCCGGTGGCACAGCAGGTTGAGTGCAGTGCTGTAAGGCTGTCCACAGCCTCTGCATCGTGGGTTCGATTCCCTGCCGGCCAGGGAGATTCCCACATGATGTGGCAGACCTCTCCCGTCTCGCCCGCTGCTCTCCTCAGCAGTTTATTTCAGTCCTTCCTTCTGACTGTTCTGCTCTCTGCTCTGTCTCTGGTGAATTCTCTCATCCTTCCGTGCCTCTGGCTTGTACCCCAGTGCTTGTATAAATAAATGAATCTTAAAAAAAAAAAAAAGGAAAAGAAAAGAAGCTTAAAAAAAAAAAAGAGACTGGAACACTCGGAGAAGACTCACAGATATGGGGAGAAAGCGCTGACTCCACATAGTTACCCAGGTCAAGAATCATTTATTTCCCAGACCTCCCCAGTGGCGCAGCGGTTGAGCGCTGGGTTGCAAAGCTGCCCGCGGCCTCTGTGGTGCTGGTTCGATCCCCGGCTGCTCCCCGGCCACCAGAGGAGGGTCCCACATGGCGCGCAGACCTCTCCTGCCGCCCGCTGCTCCCCTCAGCAGTGTACTTCGGTCCTTCTGCCTGTTCTGCTCCCCGCTCTGACTCTGGTGAATTCTCTCACCCTCCCGCGCTTCTGACTGTACCCAGTGCATGTATAAACAAAACAAACAAACAAATAAATAAACATGCCTCTATTATTAAAAAAAAAGAATCATTTATTTCCCATATTTCCCATCATTTTAATGAAATGACATTGAATGACAAATGAACATTATCCAAGTCCACTGTAGTTCAGAAAATGAGGAAATACTGAAAAGCTTAGTTTTTGAGGTTAAGATAAGTGACTTAAAGAAAATTATTAATAATTATAAAGTTTGGTAGAATTAATTAAATATAATTAGCAATTTCCAACACATTTGTATATAAATATGTAAAATATGTGAATTTAACATAGATATTTCATTCAAGACATAAGTGTATATTTTCAGAAACAGTGACTCTAGTGACTCTTCTACTTTCCTAATCTTGTAAATATGTATTTTGAACATTCTCTCTCTCTCTCTTTTTTTTTTTTGCTTAATTCACAATCAAATGAATGGTTATAATTTTTTTTTTTTGCTTAATTCACAATCAAATGAATGGTTATAGTATAAAACACTTACTGATATTTTAGCCAAAACTGCATTTGTGTATAGTTGATGATTTTGAGCATCACATGAATTAAAAAACTCAAAGTGCTTAAAACCATTTTGTTGGCCATTAATGAGTTATATTTATCTTGATTATCAATCCAAATTAATATATTTTCTAGAAGATTTAAATGCTTTTTTGAATAATGCAACCATGCATGTTATTTAATTTAAGCAATTTTATAATGCTCTTCCCTTATTGTTTAGGTTGCTTGGAACTAAAAGAGGACACCATTGAAAATCTTCTTGCTGCAGCATGCCTTCTTCAGCTTCCTCAAGTAGTAGAAGTTTGCTGCCATTTCCTCATGAAGCTTTTACATCCATCTAATTGTTTAGGAATCCGAGCATTTGCTGATGCTCAAGGATGCATTGAATTAATGAAGGTGGCTCACAGCTACACAATGGTAAGGAAATTTAATATTTCAATAACAAAGATATCAGTGTATTACCAGAAATTAAAATAAATTGTCACTGCATTGAACATTTTTAGTTTAACTTGAGTTTTGTATTTGTACATTTATCTAATTGGGTAAAATGTACCCTACAGTATTTCATAATCTCAAAGTAAAAAGTCACCATAATGGACTTCATTGCTGCTTTTTGGTTTTATTTACATTTTGCACCACAAAAGCTTTTGTTTTGCATTTTATTCTGCTAGTTCTCTACTGTGGAGTAAGTTGTATCAATCAAAATTCAATATTGAAGTTCTAAACCCCCAATGTGATGGAGATGGGATGTTCAGGCAACAATGGGGTTCAAATGAGGTCATGAGGTGGGGTCCCACATGATGGGATAGTGCTCTTACAAGACACAACAGAGCATTTGAATATTGGATTCCAGAATTCCTGGGAAATCTGTATTAAGGGAATATATTTAGAGATATATATTAACAGACTTAACCTTTTGGGGGGGATTTTAAATGAATCAAATATAATTCAATAAATATTCCTAATATAATTTATGACTATTTTACATTTTATATTTGCTTATACATACACACATATATGTAGGTATGTGAGTATTTTAACAGCTTTATAATGATTATAAAAAATGTTTGAATTGTACATTTTAAACATGTGAACTTGATGATGTGACACATATTTTTTAATATCTCCATTCTAGAATGGAATATTGAGCTGCAACAGTTACATATTCATCGTTTCATGACTTAGAAATAATCATGCTAAAAGCACTTAATGACTGGCATATATTAAGTTATATATAAAATGACAGCCATTTTTGCTATTGCTGCTAGTAACATATTAATGTTTTGATTGTCATCATTGAAACAAGCAATTATGAAGTAGAAAACTCTACCTTCCCTCAAAGGGGAAAATTTATATAAGAATGATCTCATTAAAATGCATCATCGATATTTATTTAAAAAAACTTATTTTGAGACTTAACACCATATCACATCACTAATGACAGTCATATAAGTTTTCTAATTATTTGTCTTGGGTAGCATTTTAATACAATTTTATTTTTTTTAATTTTTTAAGCAGATTAGTATATTAAATGAAAATATAGAAATAAAAGGAAGGAGATACATGCTTTTTAATTTGATTGTCAGAATTTTGTTTTCAAAATAATCCATGACAGATTACTGGGCAACTATTGAAATTTTATGAACCATATAAAATGAGTGGAAACAAATACTTCATCAACCAAAATATCAAGTCCAACTGCAGTTATTTAATTAAACACATTTCATTACAATTAAGAGCTCTAGTTTAGCTAACCCAAAGAACAACATGCCTCCATATCCAGGGGGGATGATTGTCCCTTCTGGTCTAGTTTGGAATTATTAATTTACTAATAAAAATGTTTTTCTTGCAGCTGCTTAGGTTTTTCTACAATTTATCACACAATAGTAGCATACTTTTTTCTTGACACTTTAAAATGTATACTCCATAGTAAAATATATTTTAAATGGAAATAGAGAATTCATGCTAAGAAACTCAACTTTTTAAACATCTCTGTGTTATTTTTGAGACTATGAATAACTTACTTGTGCATCATGTCTCTTGAAATTTAAGTAATTTCCAATTATTTTGGAAACATGAAGCTCCAGTGTTCTCCAGATGCTCATGGGTTACTGTTTAGTGAAAAAATTTACTGAACACTTGTCTTCATAGATTACTATTTTCTCTCAATTTTAACACTTGAAAATTAGTGTTTTGCAACTGATATTATATTTTTAACCACATATTTGCTTCTAATCCTTGTTTAATCATGCACATGTCCTCATCTAATCTATTCAATCTGTGCTTGCGAGCAAACCTATTATGCTATAATTTTTTTAACTGATTTAGTAGCAAATCATTCCAGTTTTCCTATTACCTCAGGGACTGAATTAGCTTCTTTATTGACTGCAATTATTTATTTTCTATTTATTTCATAAGAATTATTTATTTTCTATTTTTAATTTACTTGACCTTTTAACATCATTGGCATCAGATCTCACTTTGCTGTTTATATGTCTGTACTATTTATATAATTTTCTCTTTCCTTTGGAAATGTCACTTATTTATTTGGTTTGACTATTGATTTTGTGTGAATGATTTCAAAATCTATTAGTGGAAGGTGAGCAGTTTGGCATTGGTTCATGTGCAAAATACTGGAAAATTTTGATTGCAAGCTCCATATTAAGCAGAACTGTGAAACTAATTCTAAAGCATTAATTTAAACTTTGGCTGCATGAATATGCAGAGAGTAACAAAATAATTAAGAGAAACAGTTCCCCTGTACTCTACTAGTCAGATTTCATTATGAGTCCTGTGCTGAATTCTGGACACCACATTTTAAAGGCATTAAAGAGTGGCAAGCAAAAGCAGATGAGAATAAGAGGAATAGTGAATATTTTATAATCATATCATATGGAAAACTGTTGGGGCTTGTGACTGAATAATATTAGGGATGGAAATAACTGCCTTCCTATATATGATAAAATTAACTCATGTCTAAAAAAGTTAACATTTAAGTGTTTCTGTTTTGTTTTTCACCTTAGTAGTATATATTAAAAAAAAAGCATTTCCACAAGATATAGAAGGTGGAAGAGAAGAGAAAGTCATTATTCTCTAAGCACAATTATAAGCAGATATGTGGACAGAAGGAAAGTCGAAATAACTCCCAAGCAACCTTTGAAATGATTTATTTCACTGGTATAGACTGAGACATTTGATTGAAATCTTTTGGAGATTCTTGAGGAATGGCCTCTGCAGAGTAGTGCTTTAGAGAACAATTGAACTGAAGGTTGAAATCATTAGTAGAAAGTTACCTAATCTTAATTTCCACAGACTTTTAACGATAGTATAGACCTCCAGTTCCCTATCCACAATTTTTCTTAGACAGAATACAGGGTGTATTGTTTTCTTAATCCAACAATATCTTCAATGCTTACCCAAAAAATAGCAGGTTCAAATGCCATATTTTGATATGCATGATCCTCCATACCTATTCTCTAAATTGTTCCCTGAGTATTTTTCCTCAAATAACTGGAATTGAGTTATCTTAAACATATCCTGTGAATTTCCTTTACTTATACTTTACATACATTTCCCTTCTCTGGAAATTTCTAATATCTAATTCTGTATAGCTAATTTCCAGTTTAATTACATCAATGCATAAAAAAATCTTAAAACTTTTAATTTTATTCTTATTTGAAATCTTAGTGTTCCTTTCTTTAGGATAATATGATGTCATCATAAACTTCTTTGTGCAATTAATTATCTTTTTATGTCTCTATGACCTGTTTGCACAACAGGTATTGCAAATTCCTTATTTCAGATATTAAGTATTCTCTGTTGAAATTTATTTTGCTCTGACAAAGTGTCTATTGCATTGTAATGTGTTAATTCTAGTTTTCATCTTGTTTGTAACTTTAGGATCGTGACATTCAACACTCATGAATTCAGTCATTTAACAAGAGTACATATATAGATTTCTTTCTTTCCAATCACATATTTTACTGTTATTACCACTGTCCACAGCCTTAAGACACACTGATCTTTATGCTGTTTTTTGACTACTCTAAGAACAATATAACTCTTTCTTCCCTCTGCTGGAAACACTTTTCTACCATTTTTAAATTTTTTATATTTATTTTATAACTTTATTTATTGTTCTTGAAGAACCATTGTTCCACATCTTTGCCAGTGCTGAAACAGTATAGGATTTCCCTGCTCAGGTAGAGTCACTGTAGCACTCCCACCACCAAAGATCCCACAATCCTCTAAAAGTCCATTGTGCTCTCCAATGCCCTCCCTTATTCTCACCCCTCCTCCTACAAAACTATTATGTCCCTTTCTCCTATGCTGCATTCAAATTCAAATTTTACTTCCACAGAAATCTTTTCTCAGAATATTCTATATAAAATAGCACTACCTCCAAAACTCTGTTCCCTTATACTGTCTCACAGCAATTATAGTACTTACTGGTTACTGGTTTTACAATATATTTTTGTCCTTGTTGATGTGGCTTACTTCCATTTAGGGTATGGAAAATTTTCATAAACTTCTCTAAGTGCCTAGTTAGATGACTTTACATAGTGTTCATTGTTAAATGAATAGTGAAGTGAGTAGTAGGTCAATGACTATGAAATACAGTTGTAATGGGGACCTCTGCAGATATGATGATAACAAAATAGTCATATGTTGGATTTACAGAAAGTTGAATATGTTGAATGCAAATTAATTTTGACTATAAGCAACAGTTATATGTATACATATGTGCATATGTGTAGATATAGTAACTCTGAAAAGGTAAATCATAAGATCATAAGATCCAATGAATAGGTAAAACAGGGAAAGCCTCCTTTAAATAAGGATTGTTTACAGTGAGTTGAAAATGTTCAAGTGGAATTAGTCAGCTGAGGAGTTGGCAAAAAATGTTCATGGCAGAAGGAAATGGATTTGCCAATGATCTGATGTAGGATGGAACTTTACTCTGAGTAAATTCAAGTGTGATGACATGGTAGGGAGGGGAGGGGAAAGAAATAAATGATAAAAATGGAAATTCAGTCAAATTTTGCAGGGGTTTGGAGACTTTGTTAATGATTTAGATTTTTATATTGAATATAATAATATGTCATTGAAAGCTTTTGAGCAAGCAAAGACAAAGGTTTAATTTCAAATGTGTCTCCAGATTACCATAAACAGGAGAGGAAAAGAGAGACCAAGAATAAAGATTAATACCTCACTAGGGGTCCATGTGTTTATTCACACACGTACTTATTGGGTGAGTGACAAATAAAAAGAGAGCCTGAATAACTAGCTTCTGTCATTGTGTTTGATGACAATGCTAATCACTACTGGTGGTTCTGCCAGTTCTTGTATATTTTATACATCAGTTGTCATTCTAGGTGTTAGAGATATTTAAACCTTTCAAAATCCCCTGCAAGATA